CGAATCATTACCAAAATACCTCAGAGTTGCTTATACGTTCGCACCAGCCAATCCGCGCCAAACATTGGCAATCGAAGACGAATATCTTCCACGCGCATATTTAGGATCTCGTAACCATAGAGCAGAACTGACCGCACGCTGGTGCAGTGTACACGGACTTTCGGTTTCCACGAAACATCGCGTCCGCATCGAATATGTTTCAGTCCTGCGTAAGCTACTCGAGACTTGGAAATGCGGGCGGTTACTTCATCGACTATGCTACCGTCATTTGAAACGCAGCTACCTAAGTAGGAGAAACATTCCACTATAGCTAATTCTTGACCATCAAGTATCAGTCCCGGGGTAAACAGCACCCAGTCTTATAGCATCACTTTGCACTTTGATGGTGCAAAGCGCATACCAAACAGAGCTACAGAACTTGAAAGTCTGTCAAGAGCGCTTTGCGTATCCTCCATACATTCGAACAGACAAACGATATCGACAGCGTACTCCAAATCGCACACCTTGTCTCCAGTTGCCCATTCAATACCAACATTTTGGAAACCACTAATTGTGTTCTCCAGTATTTGAAATTGGACAGAAATGACGAAATAGGGCATCCTTGGAGAACACCGTTCCTGGTTTCTAACGATTTAGTACGATCATTTCCTGCCTACTAGTTGTCATTGGGCATGACTGAAGGATACAGTTGCAGTCTACCGAAGTGTCTCCAACAAAGTAGGCGGCTCTTATCTGATCTCATCCTCTCGGGGTATGTAACTGTACACAGCCCCGGTTCATCCACCAGAAATCGACGAAGACAGGCTTTCTATCTTAAATGCTAACAGTACCAGACCGGAGGTACGTAACTATGAACTACTATCATTGACGTACAAATTCATGCAATCATGACACCACAAAAATCGCGTATAGTCCTGCTACTTTTACTTTACCCCGCCACTTCTGGCGGTCTGTAGAGGATTGGAAGAAGAGAGATCATAAGGTTGCCTGGGCGTTCGATTCAAAAGACGTCTCTGGCTATTTCACTGCAAGTACAGTTAAGGTAGCACCTGTTTTCTGTGGTGCACGACTGTCGGTAGTTCCACAGGCGCTCATTGACCATTTGGCAGATGTAAATGTGATCCAGGAATTCATGCAATTTAGTTCACTGGATAAATCTGTTTCAAAGCTGTTGCATCGGGTAGTGAATCTCGTCTGATCACTACGGGCTGCCTTACGCCCGTAGGCCCTGTGGTTGAGCCTTTTTTGCCCTGGTTACCTTCAACCTGTTTTAATCCGTCTGTGGAGTAATTTCTCGGGCAAGTGATCGCTAATGTCCATATGTTTCAGCTTCACGGAGCCACGTGTAAACGATTAAGACCGAAGAGGTTTGTTACGCCGCAAGGGTCACGGAAATCTACCAACTCAGAATTATTCCTACCAGATTTCTCTCGAACCGTCATGATAAGGTAAAAGTGTAATCCGGAGCATAAACTTATCCACGCTAGGGACATCGATGTGTCCCATGCAGAATCTAGTATTTACAAATCCTACATCAATATAGTGGTGGGACAGATCAGATTAATGCAGTCTTCGAGGTTCCAAACAAATCCCATCGTGTATAAGCCACCCTGCCAAATTTTCTCGCTGTCCGAGCTTGACAAATCACTAGCTACTCTGAAACACGGAAGAATAAAATCTCCTGATAGTAATATAACACTACAGCATCGTCATTATCATCGTACAGAGAAATACACTGACCGGAAGGAATTTCACTGATCGCTGCCAAACTCGCAATGCATACAAAGTCAGTGGTTATATGTAAATCGAACAGGGATCGGATCTGTTTTGACGGAGGGAAAGGAAGAGAGTGAACCCCTATGGCCAACACACAGAGTACGCAATCGAACGAGGCTTATTTATCGTTTCAGTCATTCTGGCCTGATGAGAAATGACAAGGACGCCACTGCTGTCGGTTCGCTGTCATATTCTTCAAAGTATGGAACCAACCAGTTGCGGAGTCTTTGGGACCCCAAACTGGAAGGCGCGTGACACCTGCTCTACCTAATCGATCTGTGCATTTATTTACACCTCGTCTGCACGTCATCTGTTGCCCTCCGTGTGATTTCCTTCAGCCTGGTACGGCTACAGCGATTAAAGCGCGATGTGGTAGACGGTAGTTGGGCGTACGCAATATGTGCCCCAGTCAGCGAAGTCTACTAATC